CAAATTATACAATCCATACATACAAAGCTTCCTGTACTATAAGCATCATAGTTTATAAAGTTACTGGATTATGTTCATTCCAACAGTGTTGGCTAGAAATGTATCAAAGTATTGATCAAAACACTATATCAGTCACTACCATTACATCATTTATTAAGATATTTAACTTTTGATGTGACATTTGCAGCCAACACACGAACTCGTGTATTCGACGATAGGTTATGTGTGGAATTTGCAACAGACTAATCCATTCCTATGTTCTCGTAACTTAAGAAAGATTTTTGTAGGTCTGTACGAGGGGAGCTCCGATTATCTTAGTGTTTGTCTGTAATTTTACCTGGACGGTATCTGCACGAGACCTCGAGGCTGTCATCAAACACTGGGTCCCCTAAATGTCTTTTTTCTTTTCCCTGACAGAAATAACACTGTAGTGACAATATGTTCAGAATTGTATATCTATTTACTGTCAAAAGATTGTTTTTATCAGTGATCACCAAATTACTTTAAAAGTGGATAACATTCTCCCATCTTTGCTAGTCACCTTTTATTCTTTAATATAAGAATATAGGTAACTGTAACTTAAGGAGAACCAAAGCTTTACTTCTTTTTCTCAAGTAGTGATCACGGGACTAATGAACAAAAGTGAAAGCATTAGTCACAATGTTTTACCCTTTGGCATCACTTCTTAGAGAGTTCCTTTGATCTGGATTATATACGTATAAAAATATTAGACGAACCTACCTACAGATATGTGTTAAGGGTGTATAATTTGTGGTTTCAAATCATGTAATTATTATCTCCAAACAAATAATTTTGGTGAGTGTCCTACATATTTTGTTTATAAAGACTTGTTTTACTTACACAGTCATATGATTGAACATTTAAATATTCTCCAATTACTACTTCACTAGGCCATTAGTATTATACAAAATAAACAGAATATATTTCACATGAGGATTCGTAAAATTTGAAAATAGTAAAGAAGAAAACGATTTTGTTTAAAAGTATGAAATTTAAAGGTCTTTTTGAGAACCAACACATCCAGAGAAAGAGAAAGCTATTGCGCATATCATTAAAAAATTCATATTCATGAGTGTAATTTATCACAAAAGAGTAAGCTAGACATATATAGGTCAGTATTTTATCAACTAAAATATTTTGCAAATAGTAAGTTAGTGGATCTTGAAGTTTTATTAATAATTGTTTCAGTCTGAGTTTTATTTGTTTTGTGAATAAATGTTTCAATGTATGTGACAACTATCTTATTTAGATTTGATTTTATACTGAAACATTGATGAACAAAAATAAATTGTGATGAGAAACTTTTTAATATTTAAAAATAAAAATTAGACTGTTTGTTGTGGACTAAACTTCTGACTAACTAACTGACTATCTCTGTTACCATCCTTTGTATAATGAAATCTCATATATTTTATATGTTGATGTCTAAGTAGATAATTAAAGTAAAATTGGATCAATTTTTCATTTTGAAAACTTATTCTAAGCCGATTGACACAGTCTCAACTTTTGACCATTTGCTGTATGTAGGGCGCTGTATTGGGTAGAAAGTATGCAATATTTATATGCTAACTGAAATGTTCCGTCACATATTGAGAAATAGAATATCATGAATACACATTTGGTGTTTTGTATCCATATGTAAAGTGAAAGAACTAAGTTTACTGACTGTTAAATTCAGTGAGATATAAAAACTGTAGTTAAAGTTTGGTGAACATTAAATTTGTATAGAAAATATATGACTATGTAGAGTTTCATGTTAACGTTTATGTTAATAAAAGTTTTTCTGCCATATAGATCACCCTCTTCTGTTAGTAGAACCGTGAGTCAGATAGAGTGTTATCTGTTTAAGCTAACACTAAGGTCCGGCATGGCCAGGTGGTTAGGGTGCTCGACTCGCAATCTGAGGGTCACACCAAACATGCTCGCCATTTCAGCCGTGGGGGCGTTATAATGTAACGGTCAATCCCATTATCGCAGGTAAAAGAGTAGCCCAAGAGTTGGCGGTCGGTGGTGATGACTAGCTGCTTTCCCTCTAGTCTTACACTGCGAAATGAGTTATCTGTGTTGTGCCCACCACGGGTATCGAAAGCAGGGTTTTAGCATTCCAAGTCTTCAGACTTTCCGCTGAGCCTCTGGGAACATTAATATATTTGTTTGTCTGCACTTAAGCACAAAGCTACCGGTTTCTAGCGTTGTAAGTCCGCAGACATACTGCTGTGACACTGCATTAATATAAGAGGCATAATGCAAACAACGTGTATTAATTCAAGTAATGCCTTTTTAATGATTTTACTTTTTTAGCATATTTTTTGAATATATACCTTTGATGAAAAGAATATAAAAGCAAACGTAACAAATATGACTAATGTTATTAGAAATTTAATAAATAACACTGAATAAAATAGTAAAATAGCTCAAATAGCGAAGGACGTTACAATACTTTATTAACTTATGAATCTCCAAATAACAATATATGTGTGCAAGTTGAAGTTGCAACCATAGATAAATCACAACTCCTAAACCTGCTACTCTAAACTGCTGCTAAATGAAAAATGAGAGTGAAGAAAAAAAAACGTTGCTGTGTAAATAAGGTTTCCTTGTATTATTATTTTCTGAGTGATCTATACGTGTCTGTGTTGTTCTTTTTTTAAACATGCTAATGTCTTAATTTAAGTAATGATTTGATAAGTAAAGGACATTGTTAAACTTTGTTTACTATTTTAATATCAGAATTCTGATGTTGTATAAATTAATTCAAATTGTTAATACATTCATTTTGCCTATTATGAGATTTGTACTTTTTTAAAACTTGAAGAAGTTTTGTTTGATCTTTCAATTTCATCTCTTTTATCTTAATAACTTTTATCCTAACCTTCATTTTGACTTGTGTTCTCTCATGTGAATTGTTTAACTTATGAAATGTGTTTTCTGTGATGCAGAAAGTAATGAATCATTTCCACTTGACAAGAAATTGGAATATATTTCTTATATGTCGATCTATTTATTGGTCAGGCCGCATCAAGTTTATTCGTTACCAAATGACTTGTTTTACGTAATTACATTAAATTAGCTTCAACGGATTTGAATTAGATTTTTTCATTTCTAAAAAAACAGATAAATAAGCAGACTGATCAATATGATTCTGCTGTTCACTAGTGATCTCAGAAATACATATTTGATTACCTTCATAAGTATAGCATTTACTATTTCCTATCAAATCAGCATTATAAAGTAAGACTAGAAAATTGTTTTTCTCATACACGATTTTCTAGAAGTACACGAGAAAGTTTGTGAGAAAGAGAAAAAGGAAAAATAATGAATGAATAACCGTATCTTGAACCGAATACTGATGGTTCTTATTAAATATTAAATATTTAAAAATAATTAAAACTACCTATGAAATATATATAGCTGTTACGTATTAACCAATTAACGTTCTCTTCAATCTAATCAAGTAAAGCAAAACTCTGATACAGTGAAATCTGCTTAATCAGTGACAAATACAGGACTTTAACACTAAATGAAACTTCCACTAGGTTGGCACGTCATATAGCTGCTTTAGAAATTTGAGTCTTACTTAAGAAAATGAAATATAACCACCCAGTACGTATCTATTAGGAGGACAAAGCGCGTATTTCCCATTCTGTAGTTTTCCACCAAAAATCGAAAAACAATAAAACAAAACGTATGTTTCTGTTAACTGATTCGCTGACACTTTACATGGTTATTTGTTTACTCGTGTATTACCTTTCAGGGTTGTTGGTAGGATGATTAATAATTAGTACAAATAAGAAAATAATACGTTAAATTTTCACAGAAAATTGATTCTGATTAATATATTCAACACAAAGTTGCTTTCATATGCTTTTTAATACCTTGTTACTTATTAAGAACGAGGACAACTGTCGGACTTGTTAAATATTTTTAGACATCTTTTCGTGGCGATCCTAAACCTTCCAACAATTTAATAATGGCTTTGCTGGACCTGAAAAACTGTCAAGTTGCAAATATAAAAAGTTTAACAATATCCTTAAATAAACATTTTTTTCTGTGCTGTTTCACGTACAGGTACATAAGATATTTCTTTTAATTTTCAGAAGACTATAATGAATGATTTAATAATCTGAGTACAAAAGAATCTAAATTTTACGAAATTACAAAAGACATTGAAAAATGATAATAATGTTAGATTTGAGCATAAAACGATTTAAACAAGTCTGGAATGTATAAGAAATTAATATTTCAGTTCAAGCAGTTAAAAAATAGCTTTAAGCTTTTTGGAAATTCTAATTGAGGTAATAATTTTTCTAATTAGAGACAATTCCAGTTTGAGTGAAGTAAGATATTTGAAACTAAGATTGTATGGTTCCTGAAGTCAAGGTTGTCTGCTAGCAAGGGCTGTCTTAGCCCATTGGGAGTCCTACACATACATATTTTTTGGCATACCTCCTCACTCACCACCCCTAAAGAAATACTAATTGCGTTATTTCCACTAATCCAAAAATATACCAACACAGTAGCTAATAAAACACTTCTTAAAAAAGTCACTATGCATGTACTGCACTTAGCAACCAATAAGAGCATGCTCACCGCAAGATTGCCTGATTGACAAGGTTTTTTTTAACTTTTTTTTCTTTGTTTTTAAACACAAAGATACACAATGGTGTATTTGTGCTCTGCTCACCACAAGTATCGAAACCCTATTTATAGTGTCGTCATAAGTCCAGTGGCCAACAATTTTTAAATGCCTATACGTTATTGGGTGATATGTTTTTGGATCGTATTCTTTGAAATAGTTTTTTGCTTTTCAAATGAGTACGATACTAAAACTGACAAAAGTCAATATTCAGATGAAAATATTAAATAAAATCCCCATGATTTCCGGTCCTTTGAGCTGCTCAGGGCCCTAAGCATTTGTTCGGCCTGCTAACGCCTAGCGCGGCTATTCTTTGCAAGTTTCACATACTTCTGTCTTTTAGAATGATAGTTCAAAGGGATGGAGGGTTACCTGAAAACATGGCTTCTGATTCACCTGCGTCAACAGCAATACCCTTCCCAGTTGTCCAATACCTGGAGCAGAACGTCAGAGCGTGGATGAGGTCAACAAAGGGTCAGGTAAGTTCAATGTCATGATGTCGTTTTGCATAGATAAGCTACATCATGCATATTTTATTATCAGATAGTTAAATGAAACAACTGCGATAATCTTTGTCTCGTTGTAAATTCATAAAAATTCACAACATTTTAAAGGGACAAAAGGTACCTTATTAGCCCATCAAAAATGTCCCTTCCAGCTCCCAACTATAACCACCCATTACTATTCATGTATTCATCCAATTTTATCTTGAACTCAGTTAAATTTTCTGCTTTCACCACCCTTGAAGGCAGCTCATTCCAAAAGCCAACCACCCTCTTTAAAAAAGTAATACTGTCTAAACTGCAGACGACTCCTAAGCTGCCAAATTTTGAATTTATGACCCCTTGTCCTATTATGATAACGTATTGTAAATATTTTAAAAGTAGATTTAGATGTTGTAATAGTTTTTATAAGCAATTGTTCTTTTCATGTTTTATCGCTTGGTGACAGACGGATATACTTTAATCATTTGTAAAATATAGTGTATAATATTATTATCATATTGTAAAAGAAAGCAAAATCGTTAAATTGGTAATAAAAATAAAACTAGTAAGATAACTTGGTATATTGTATTTTCCATGTAAATTTTGAATGAAATCAGCGCCTTGTACATAAAGCTTTACTTTCTTATCTAAATGTTGTAGTTTTCTTTAATATAGTATCTAAGTTTTTTTTTAAATCAAATGTTTTAATGATATAGTTATGTACAAAATATTATATTATTTGACCAGTGTTCTGAGGAAGTATTTAGACAGTATTTAAAAGTCTTATGTCCCTTAAATATCTGATTATATGTTTATACATGTTATGTTTATATGTTTGAAGTTTTATTTGATACAAATGTTGTAGCGAGGTATTTATGTATCTTTAGAAAGTCCTATTATTGTATTATTTTGAGCAAATGCTCTAAAAGCAGCTGATTTTTATGCTTAGCATTGACTGTTAGTACTACTCCCTAGATCGGTTTATTTTATTTTATTGTAAATGGGTAAATTTAAAAAACAAACTTTCTGTTCGAAATGTTTACAGTAGAAACTACTGAGTAATTAATGAGAACGAAAAGGGTTCCCAAGGGGGGGGGGGATTAGGTCACAACAAAATATAAAGCTATCATTTTCTCGTGTACAGGTCATTTTGGAAGCACACAGATTAATATGCCTTCTATAATCTCATCGTCGGGTTGCCATAGTAATAGATAATGCCGATAAAATGATAGCAAATCGACCTAATAAAAAAACATGGAAATACATCCCGCTCTAGTTCGTTTTTAACTAACCTACCTGAGTGAGAAATGTATTTTTTTTAAATGTGTTCCTTTGCTGTAATAGTTCGCTTTTTGTAGTTATTGTAATCTGTTATTGGAGTTTTATATTTTTCATTTGTTTAACCAGTGAGAAAGATTACTTAAGTAAACTAATTATATATATACAACATCAAACCTTTATTGTTAGGGTCGTTATATGTTTGCTTAAAGGATAATAAAATAAAAATAGAAAATGAGTGAAACGTTTACATTGAAAAGGATTATATTTGTTTTATACACAAAGCAGCATTGTAAGATAAAAACTGTTTTTTTTTTCTGCAAAGCTCACGTCACACACAGTCTTCCCCAATTAACTTAGAAAGTTCCTGAAAAAAGGAGAACAAACAAAAGTAAATAATCGAATATTGAACCAAAATTAAAAATAATTGAAAGAGTGTTAAGTCATTACGTGTTAGTCCAATTAAATTTCTCTTAAATCTAATCAAATATAGCAGAAAGCTGACGTAGTGTAATCTGCTTAAGCAGTGACAAATACTGGATTTTAACACTAATTGAAACTTCTACTAGTTTGGCATGTCATACAGCTGCTTGATAACATCAAGTATTACTTAAGATGATGAATCTTAATCACCCAATATGTTTCAATCAGGTGGACAAAGTACATATTGCCCACTCTGAAAACAACAAAATAAAAACCTTGTTTCTATTTACTGATTCGCCTTAAAAATGTCCCAAAGAAAATTAAACTTGCTAAAATTTGACTGAAAATTTCCTCGTTATGTTTGGTGTTTGTTTATTTATACACTGCTTTGAAGGGTTGTTGACACAAATTGCTAAATTATTAGAATCTTCGTTTTATTACTCTATTTATTTTAACTTTCACCTTAATGCTTTATTTATATACTTTTAAGTCTTTCTACCCATTGCTTTTAAAATATAATTTTACTACATTATTTATAATGTTGAGAATTATTTTTTACCCGAAAATTCCAAGGAACAAAAACTCCATCACTGATATTCAACTTTGAAAAAGAAAATCGCAGTTTTAACTAGTGTGTTAATTAAAAAGAAACTTACCCCAAGTCGTCTGTTATCCTCACAACATTTGAGTTTGTTATAATTCACATTTGAATGCTCTGACTAGCTTCCAATTCGTACCTAGGATTTTGGCGTTTCTTGAGAAAATTTAAAGCGTTGCATAAAAACGTTGTTCATGCAAACCATAAACTAATAATCACTTTCATAAACTAAATAAACAGTTAATTGATGATGATGTTTTACCATTTCAACTCTTGTGGTTTGTTGTTTGGTATCTAGATATTAGACTAAGTAGTCCTTTTACGGTTAGCAAAGACATTTATATTCAAAATGATACGAAGATTTGACAGAAACTTTGGGGTTACAGAAATTGGAAACTTTAAACATTTTTCTGCAACGATCCCCGTGGTACCAAAGTGGCTGTAATTATTTTTAACTAAAATCATCACTTTAATTGAATATAGGTTTCATTTATAAACATAACACTTGGTAAACATATAATACTATAGAAATTCTGAAAATTGTTCTGACATACAATTTTTATTGTAATCTCCAGTATGTTATACAAAAAGTATATTTATATTGTGAGTATCTCAATACTGTGCAATATTTGTTAGATATCTGTTCACAAAACTAAACGTGTTGTTAAAAATGATAAACAGGAAATGTTTTAGATGTTGGTGGGAATTTCAAACATTAGAACTGCTTCACAAGTTTGGTGTAACATTCTCTATTTTTTTTTGAACTGTACTGTATTCACAAGAGTCCTTTCAGGAGATTAGCCATCCTTCACACCCAATAAAGGAAGAAGATTAACCATCCTTCACTCTCAATTAATGAAGGAGATTAACTATCCCTCACACCCAATAAAGGAAAGAGATTAACCATCCTTCACACCAAGTAAAGGTAGAAGATTAACCATCTTTCACTCTCAATTAATGAAGAAGATTAACTATCCCTCACACCCAATAAAGGAAAGAGATTAACCATCCTTCACACCAAATAAAGGTAGAAGATTAACCATCTTTCACTCCCAATTAAGGAAGTTCCACCTTTCCGAAAATTTCTCAGGCTTCTTTAACTATTTTTGTAATTTTATGTGCACTTCATCGAAAACATTTGATTAATACTATAAAATCTATAGTGAAAATAAATCCACAAAATGCATAGGCAATTAATTATGTACTTGTTTCATGCATATGTTTACAAAAAAAAACAAATAACCAGACTTCATAAAAAAACAATTCAAACCCGACTTTTCGACTTATGCCTTTTCAAAGATTACAGTTTCACTTACAAATACAAATTGACAACTGAAAAGAACACATCCAACAATTAAAAACTGGCTTAATAATAGTAATATCACGTGTTATCGCACGCACGTTCAAAGAAATTCGAATGACTAAGCGATAGAAAATCGCAATCTATCGAACAAAATACAATAATAATAATAATTATAATTATAAGGACAGAGAATTATTTAGGTTTATAAGATTGAAAAAGGAGAGTCTCTTTTAATTTACGATTAAAGAAAACTATTACATTTTGGTAAGAGCTTAATGCTGAATGGTCTGTTTTGCAAAATTTTAAAACTGAAACGCTTTTCACGTATACTTTTTTGTGAATATGCGGGACCGTTGCGTCGACTTTGGCACCTTCTTCCTCTTATGGAAAAACATCATTTTTGTTTTTATGTTTGGGCATTTTCTGAGGTCCCTCGCTGCCATAGCGGTAAGTCTAACGATTTACAACGCTAAAATTAGGTGCTCGATTCCCCTCGGTGGACACAGCAGATAGCCCGATATGGCTTTGCTGTAAAAATCACACACAAACACACATTTTCTGATTCATTATTTAATTGATCGCTTCAGTATTGTTTCTGTAAAACTGAACCATATTTGCCATCTAGCCCGAAAATTCCTGGTTTCACACCGCCAGGATTGGGATTTCTTTTACACTACAATTAAAGATATATATATAAAACTAGCATTAAAAAGTTCAAGAAAAATGACAAAATAAAAAAAAATTAACTTAATCGTTTTCGTTAAAACCAGTTTTGTAGTCTCAGTGTGTACTATTTAATTAGTTTATTACCCGTGGTGGGCACAGCACAGGCAGCCCGTTGTGTAGCTTTATGCCACAAGATTTTAACACGTGTGTTATATTAGAATACACGCCAAATGATCTTAACCTTTCAATTCTCACGTGTAACAAAAAATTATAGTACAATTGTAACGGCTTGAATTTATTTCTGTATGATAGCAACTCTCTTAAAAATAAATAAATTGAATAACTCTTAGAATACTCTGCACTTAGTTTTTTTATTTTACAAATATTGCAATTTGAAGAATAAAATAATCCACTAATAATTTAAAGGTTTCGACGGTTTTGCTTAGAGATTATGCAAACAAAAGTTCTAAGTTTACTCATGACATGTACAAATATAACACTGAAATCCAAAGTTTTCTAAAATACGAACAAACCTCGAAAATAATTACGTATTAGTAATATTATTTATTATACAGTCCCATGCATTAGAAGTTATATTTTAATTTTGTGTTACAAGCATTTCATATTTTATTTAACATTATAAAGTTAAACGTCATCATATCAGACGAAATGTTTTAAACTTTTTTTTCTTACTAATTGTGAAAGATTTTCAAGAAATAATATATA